TCAGAGACAGGCAAGAAACAAAGACAGTCGTCAAGATTCTCACCAAACATACCTTTTGCCTCCTCCTTCGACTTCGTGAAGTTCTCTTGGACAAGCTTCAGGTCAAGTTCAAGCTGGATATGCTTGTTCTCCAGCTCGGTATAACGAGAAACAAGGTCACAAGATTTCTGCGAAAGTTCAATCGGCAGACATCAAAGACAGATCACTTCCGGGTGACTAAGAGAAAAATCGTAGTGTTTCTAAGACTACAGCCAAATTCAAACATTCAATTGTAGTCTCGGGGACTACACCCAGTGGGTGCACTCAGCGTGCCCCCACTAGTTCTATCAGCTAGACTCAGAGTCGATCAGTCGACCGGAAGCAGTTAACTGCCAGCAGTAAAAAAACGAAGAATTATTCAAACCATAGCCGACTGCCAGCAGTTGACCACAGTCTCGGGGACTACACCCAGTGGGTGCACTCAGCGTGCCCCCCACCGGTTCCATGATCCCACTCGACCAGTTCGAGTGAAACAAGTAAAAGTGAGAAATCTCAAGACACAAAGACTACAGTCGACTGCAGGCAGTCCACCGTAGTCTCGGGGACTACACCCAGTGGGTGCACTCAGCGTGCCCCCACTAATCCCGACATTCCAATTGACACACCCACCCAGTGGGTGCATGACAAACATCAAGACTTCCAGTCGGTGTTTAACTAACCTGGACATTACTTTGGAGAGCTGAACTCGTGTCATAAGCTGCTTGGCTGGCGGTTCGGATCGCCTTCACCTGCTCCATCATAATCCCGGCTTGGCGTATGGCTTCCTTGGCAGCGCTTGCTTGGTCCTCCCGGACGTGGTAGGTGGAGAAGAGATAAGGTGGGTCAGCACTCGATGACAAAGGACGGGCAACCGTCAATGGCTCCGCGAAGGACACGGTAGCCCGAGCAACATTGCTTCCCTCTGGAACCAGTAGTTCAGGTGCTGACACGACCTGAGCAGCCTTGCCAACAGTCACCTTCCTGCTCCTCCTCTACCTCAGGGGTGCTTCATCATCATCGTCAGGAAGATCGATGACAACGCTAGGTGGAGCTGCAGAAGAAGTTCAAAGTCAAAAATAAAGATTCAATCGACCGAAAGCGAAACCGCGCAGATCATACCAGGATGAGAAGTAGCAGCATCTTCCATTTCTTGGTCCTCATGCCTGGCTGAAGTTTCAGAAGTAGCAGCACTGCGATTTCAAAAATCAGTCTGTCAGCGATTGAGTCGACCAAGAATGTATCCATGATAAAAGGAAAAGCATGAGTTATGCTGTTACCCAGAAACAGTCGGAATCTCCATCCTCATCTTCGGTAGGGCCTTCGCCGGTTTTGTCGGGGCCGCTCGGGGTTGCTTCGACGCCTTCTCAGTCGGCGCCGGTGAAGTCGTCCGAGGGAGTTTCGTCGATTGACCAGCAGACACGACTCCCTTGCTGCGTTCGACCGCATGGTCGTGGGCGAGCTTGGATCTTCTTTCAGAACGGGGAGGCACAACTTCCTCCTCCTCTTCCTCCTCTTCCTCCTCATCGGAGCCTGCATCTTCGTCACCCTCATTACCATCCGATTCCCACTCCTCTTGACTTTCACCTCCACTTCCTTCCTCCACGTCGGCCTGCGCCTGCGCCCCGTTGGGCATCGAATACAACTCAATGGTCTCCTGAAAGACAACAAGTAAGACAAAAGTCAATCGACTGGTCCACGACGAAACAGAATGGACGGAACGAGAATACAATCGGAGAAAAGTGAGCATACCTTGTCTGCCTCATAAGATTGGTCGAGTGGCGGGATGCTCCTGGCTCCACGAGGGTTGTCCTTGTTCCCTGTGATGGCAGTCATCCACCTCTCCAGTGTGGCATTGTTGACCTCTTCTGGGTGGACCCGAGTGGTGTCTTCAGTACCAGAATACAACCACAGCGGGTGGCCCCGGTACTGGAGTGGTTGGATGCGCCGCCGAAGGAAAACCTCCAGAAGGTCCATGCCAGTCACACCGTCACGAATCAACTAGACTACTCGCTCCATCAACATTTTAACCTGAGCCTTCTCCTCCGGAACTACTTGTAGAGAGGATGGCTTGTTCACTCGACTCATAGAGAAGGAAGGGAGCCCAGTCGACTGCCCTAGCGTCGGCTGGTCTTGGCAGTAGAACCAGGTCGACTGCCACCCTCTGACTGACTCGGGAAGGGTCATAGCTGGGAAAGCGCTCTTACTCCTCGTCTGGACCCCGAGACCCCCACACATCTGGATTACCTAAGTTCTCTCGTCATTGGGGCTGGCCTTTTTCACCGTCTGAGAACGACAAGTGAATATGTGTTTGAAGAGGCCCCAGTGCGGCCGACAACCCAAGAAGTTTTCACACAAAGATACAAAAGCGGCGAGATAGGCAATGGAATTGGGTGTAAAGTGGTGAAGCTGAGCCCCAAAGAAATTCAGAAACCCTCGAAAGAAAGGATGCGATGGCAGAGAGAACCCTCGATCTACATGAGTCGCCAAAAGGACACACTCACCCTCCTGAGGCTGTGGCTGCCACTCCATCCCCGGGAGCCTCGCCGCCCCGTGCGCAACCAGGCCTTCGTTGGCCAGGTCATCGAGATCCTTTTGGGTGATGGTCGAGCGGATCCAATCACCCTGGATCCAATCTTGCGGCAAACGGGACCGCGACGAGGATCCGCCTCGACTGGTCGCTCTCCCCTTCACCTTCGCTATCGCCTTCTTCGCCCTCTCCAAGGCCGCCGTCTTCTCTTTCACCATTGTCGCCGACGAGGCTGGAACGGAGCAGCGGCGCTGGGCAGTTGGTGGGCGCGGCGGATGAATCTGGAGACGAGGGAGGGGAAAATGAGGAGGCACTGTTCAAAAAACCTCCGCCAGGTTCCTTATATGGAGTCACTTCCGAGTGGCCGACAGGTAGGCCCGGGCGATCCTGTCAAATCCCGAAACAGTCGCGCAGGCGATACGTGGCGAAAAAGGCAGCGCGGGAATCGAGGCGTCCCTGCCTTATCCCATCCGAGTACCGCGGTCTTCTCCGCTTCGCGCTTCCCAAAATTCAGATCCCACTAAATCCGCTAACCACAGGGCAACTTGTCAGACGGAAGATCTCCTGCGATCCGTCGCTCGGAAATCTCCAAGTTCATAAAGTTCACTCGACAGATATAAAGAATGGATCAAGGCGACTGAACGAAAGTTGACACCCTCACTTGAAAGTCATTGATCCAGAGCAAAACACCTTTATAGCACCAGAAAGCAGGTCGGAAAGATTGCCAACTCCTTCCTTACTCAAACCTCGATCCATTCGGGGGCTACTGATGAAGTCATGTACCTAGGGTAGGGTCATGAACCTGTCCAAGGTACCCTCCCCAAGGACATCTTTTAGAAGAAGCCGTCTTCCAGGCGACCAAGAGGAACTCCACTTGACGGACTAGAAGACACTCGACGAACCTGAAGACACTCGACCATGAAGACTCACTCGACCACCAGGAGTTCAAGATCTACTCGGTATCCAAACGATCTGTAATTAAGTAGTCTTTATGGGCATGATGACACTTTATGTAAGGCGTTACCAGTAACGCCAGACCTTAATGTACTTTAACCCTCCGCTACGTGGGCTGGCTGGGGTCTTGGCGCCCTTTATATAAGCCACCCCCCTCCACTGGTAGAAGGGTTCGCACCCCTGTAACTCTCACACAAATAATCCAGTCGACCGCCTCCGGGCTCCGAGACGTAGGGCTGTTACTTCCTCCGAGAAAGGCCTGAACTCGTAAAACACTTGTGTGCACAACTGCTCCATAGCTAGGATCTTGCCTCTCCATACCTATCTT